AGCTGGACCGATTGGGCTGAAATTTTTTGTGGACTCTCATGGGTGGCCGGGGAGTGTTTCAAATTTTTTTCCACGGGCAACGCCGGGCCCTTTAGCTAGTTACAAATTATTCAAATTTTGGTTCGTTACCAGCATTATGCTCAGTTTTATGTAAATTGATATTCTCTTGAAAAAAATATTACCCTCTACATTATATTTTTTCTATGATTGTTGGGATTTTTTCTCCAATTCTTTACTAAAATTTTATTCTCATTCTATAAAAAGTGTTCATTTGTATTCAGCTTGATGGAGTAGTTAAAGGGCATCTCGACAAAACTCTTCAACCTGAGGCTCTTAAGTCCATGGAGAAAAGATCAAAAGGTAGAATTTTATTGTCTTACACCGAGGCGCCATCTTTATTAGATGTTTGCAAGAGACAATCTTAACATTTAATTTATAACAACATAAGATTACTTAAATGTCGTCTTCCGATACTACAGTTATTTGAGTCTCACTGTATAACTATTTATTATGTAAGGTGTGAATGAGGAATTGCAGCGGATACTTGAAAACCTGGATTCTGTTTCTATTCTTGAAGATCAAACTGGTATTTTTTTATAAAAAATCTATATATATAAATAAATAAATAAATAAATAAATAAAATGTTCAACCATCGTCCCTTGGGAGTCAGGGTTAAGCTCTCATCTAACCGTACCACCATAATGGTTGGCAGGGCGTCACTGGTCCATGTTAAAACCGTCAGAACACTCGTTAAGAAGGGTTTCTCGTAAGTAAGGGCCGATCATATTTCAAATTTCTGAGATTTATAAAATGTGCAATGTCCATTGCATGCATACTATAGTGATAACCAGAACACTCTGAAATAGGAAGACGACGTTTAAACTCAAGTTATATCAGTTCAATGAACATTAGACATAGCAATTGTACAGTGTAAATGACCCTTTTTACTTAAATTGTGTTTTGCTAAGTTACTAGTAAAAAAAAATTCTTTGTAACAACATCAAAACGCTTAAGTATTGCTATAATGTCGTCTTTCTATTCCATTGTTTTCTGGTTATTACTGTACAAATATCTATTTTCCTTCAGAAAAGTGAAGAACATCCGAAAACTCCCCCCCCCCTTCTCGGCCTCCCTGTATACGCTCATTGTGGTCTGCATTTTCCCATATTTTTTTATTGGTTTATTTTTAAGCATAGGATTTATTTCATTTTAATGCGGATCCGGATCCGCACTGGTAAAAATGAATCCGGATCCAGGTCATAAACATTTCTTTAAGATTTACTGATTTTTTTAACGCAAGAAGAATTTGAAAGTAATTTTCTTCTTTTTTCAGTTTATGCTCGATCAACCAATTAGAGACTTAAGGAAATTTGTAATAATCTTCCTTTTTCTCAGTTAGGATTTGGGTTTTGAAAGCAAAACAATTTTGTATGCATTTTTTGGTTTATATGTTACCCCTTTGATCCGGATCCAGAAAGCCAAAATGTTGCAGATCCATCGGATCCCAATCCTAAGCACTGTTTTCCAGGCTAAATTTGATAACAAATAAAAATTAGAAACGTAAAAAACGCCATGAAGTGTGCTACAGTTTGATCAGAGATTATTGAAAAATGAAATGAAGTTTTCCTTCCAATTTTTTAACTTTTCTTAGTTTTATTATTTTTAGAAATCCGGAATAAGCGCAAGAGTGTAGTGAGCCAAGTGAGCAAGATAATGGATCAAAACGAGGATTATATTAACAAGATAAATCAATATAGACAACATTATTTATAGAAATTCAATTGGATTCACTGTTCATCACGTGATACCATAAATAAAATTCTTTAATTTGTTTCTTCGAGTTTTTAATACTCAATCAAATGTACATTCAGAATTTTTTTTATAATTTCTGTACGCCGTTGAATAAAAAATTATGTACCATTTTTAGTCATTATGTACAAAAAGTCCAACCATTCGCGTAAACAGTCTTGTATTAATAAAAGAATAAAAACCTCAAATTATCTTAATTTCAAGTAACAATTGTACTTTAAATGTTTTCAACATGCCAAAGATTTCAGAACAACATAGAAAAAAAGAACTTCTTGGATTAGGATAAAATTTATGCTTAAAAAATTAGCTAAATCTCCTATCGGTAAATTCTGCAAGAAATTGTGCTAAATAAATAAAATAATAAATTATTTGATAATAATATATTATAAAATTTAACAATTATTGACTGAAGATTAAGAAGAATAAGACTGAGTAGATGAGCAGTCCACTTGGATTCGAACTCAACACTGTAGAACTAGAAATACACCTTTCAATACAATACACAAACACACATACAGACAGATGGAGAACATCATATTTATGCGATATTACTGGTACAACTTTGTAATCTCGTAGCTCCAATTTTATTAAAAACTAGAAATTCAAATTTTTTTTCTTTTTAATTAATAAAACGAGTTTTTATTGGGAACATGTAAAATCTTTATCATGAAATTTATACATTAACTTTGCTTGTCTCTGTCTGTTTGTGTCCAATAAACGTCAACACGACTGAACCGATTTTGCCCAAATTTTGTGTGGACCTCACATGACCCCTGGAAAGATTCGCAGATGCTCAAAATTTCAAAAATTTGTTTTCAAAAGTTCTTGTTTTTTCTTAGATTTAAAAAAATCACAAATAAACTATTTAATTCGCCAACTTTTTTGTTATTGTTTTTATTGAACAACGAGAAGACGCGCACTCACAGTTAGAGCTGCCACAATTAAAAGTTAAAATAGAAGATGGGCGCAGCCTAATTTACTTAAATTTGAGGACCCAGAGAACAATATATGCCATAAAAGAACCAAAACAATTATGAACCAACGATTACTATACAAAATTGTGTCATGTGTATTGAAAGATGAACCTGGAGTCTGAATGTTGTAAGCCCTGAACACCTGATTTTACCAGGATACGTCCTTCAACCTTGTTTCTGCAACAAATAGAACCTGAAGTCGTTATTTAGGTAAACCAGAGGAGTATGTCCGATTCACAATCTGGAAACTTTTGCTTTAAAAAAATGGAGTTCTCTCTATTTTCTAGATAATATTTATGTTTCTACAAAAGTGACATTTGAATTTCCGCAACAGAGAAATGAAAGGAAATAGTCAAAATTTAAATCTTAGAAAAACATTTTATTGATCAGGTCAAGGTTTCAAGGGTCAGAGTGAATCAAACATGCCAATGCGGAGGGTTGCTTAAACTCACGTGTACAGTTCCTTTTAATGAGCAAAAACAGACTACAAATATGGCCTGATAGATATTCTTCTAAAATCGACATTCGACAGTCCATCAAAATATGAAACATGACAATTGCAGGTCGTCTTTGATCTTGGAAATAATTTTCAGCATTTTATTGGTAAACCAAATTATAGGAGTAACATTCTGGAGTTACTAGTCACAAAATACCCAGTCTTGCCATTTCCTAAATAATGCATTTTTTATGCGCTCAATATCATCAAAGATATAAAGAATTTTGTTCAAATTTCGACAATTTTGCTATTATTCGGTAAAATTGAAATCTTCACGAAATTCTCAATATACGGTAACATTCACAGCACAAAAAAAGCAGACCACTTTTTGAAAATCATTGAGCTAGGAGAATTTTGTTGTTATTTTTTAAAGAATCATACATGTGAAAGAAAGTTGGCAATGGCGACTGAATGTATAAATTCAAGGCTCGAAGACGACTTTCAAATCGTCTTGCTACTGTCATGTTACGTGGGACACCCTGTACTCTGATTTGTGAAGTGTTCAGTCTTTGAGCCAAATTTAATGAACAGCCAGACATAATTGAAGTGGTTGAACTACATCTCCGTGGTTCTACTATGTCTGACTATTCATTGAATCTATATCCTGAACTGAGAGCACTGCAAACCAAGATGTGTGCAAGCTCTCAAAACAAAAATCAAGCTGTTTTTGCCAATTACTCTTTTTAAACAAACTAGAAACAAGAGATTTTCATTTTTGAATTGTATAAGTCTAGGACTACAAAAAATAAGTGAGTTAGTGAGATAAAACCAAAGACCAAGGCGTTGGGACACTTTTAAGTCGAGGCTGTTTAAAAATTTCATAACTAAGTTTTAGAGTTGTCAAGCTAGATTTCAGTGAGTGAATAATTATAGATAAGTCTGAGCCCAAATGGTATTTTGTACAAAATTGACATCAATAGAGATTATTTTTTGTTTGCAAACATAATCCTATATAAAACCATTTCTTGAATGTTCAGTGTGGTACAAATGTATTTGGAAAACAACGGATGATAACCTAGAATTCTGATTTTAAACAGCCCAGCGAACACAAACACACAACAATTGTAAAGTTAACTGGAATAAATGAAAAGCTTGTATTATAATGCTAATGGTTAATGTAGTGCATATACCATGGTATAAAAATATCCATCTAACGATATCGAATAATTTGCAATAAACGTTATGAAATTCGAGCTTTATCAATCTAATGTGGAACACACTGTACCTGAGGGGTGATCTAGATTTTATATATTCCTTCAATATATCAGTATCTAACGGGCCCTGAAGAAAAAAATATTAAAACATTGTTTTATTTAAAACCCAAAATATAGAGCGCTCAAGGTCTCCTTCTGTACTCCTATTATGATTCAATTTAAACTGCACTGTAGGTTTACAAATAGAGATTGAGACTTCAGAAACTGCTTTAAAGAAATTTTCATCTTTGTGGTTTATTTTTTATACCATATACTGAATGTACTATCAAACTGTCTTAGGTAATTTAGATAAATCCATTACAATAATAATTTTTTTCAAATATTTTAGGTTTGAAAAGTACCAGTAGGGTACTATTCGATACTTTGTGACACAAAATTTTGCACAGGCTGCGTTTGTTCCTGAAAATTGCGATAGAAGGCTGAGATTTGCAAGCAGCCTCTAATTGTGGTCATCTACAAAGATCACGAAGTCCATTTGACCTCCATAAACTCTGGAAATCCGGGAAAATATCACTTTTTTACTTTAATTCAATTATCTGAAGTTTATCAGACATGTTTTCATATTTTTTGCTACCACATCAGTCATGCACTGATATATATATATCCGACCTCCCTTTAATAATGACCTCATATGACCCTGGAGGTCGTTACCTCCAAAATTTGCTTACCTCCGGAAGTCAAAATATTAAATCGATGAAAACTGGTCATATCAGGTATCAAATCATAGATTTTTTGTTGTACCGATTTCATTCTGAGACCCTTTTTTGACCTCAGATGATCCTGGAGGTCGTGACCTCCAAAATTTGCAATTACCTCCGGATGTCAAAATATGACCCAATGAAAATAAGTCTTGTGAGGTATCAAATAAAAGTTAATTTGGTGGTGTTATATTCCATTCTGAGTCCCATCTCTGACCATATATGATCCTGAAGGTATTTGACCTCCAGATATCAATGATCTTAGAAGTAAGGCTGGGCACGTTCCGACTTTTTTTAAATCGTTCCGTTCTCGTTCCTTTTTTCTTGTATCGTTCCGTTCCGTTCCGTTCTGAGTAGAAGAACGGTCTTCCCGTTCCGTTCCGTTCATGGCGTTCTTATTTAAAGAACGGTTCCATCCCTCTAGTTCCTTTCTTAGTCAAAGAACGTTTCCATCCCCCCGTTCCGTTCTTATAGAACGATTATTAAAACCGGGTTATTTAATTTTCATAAACAATATATCATGAAAAAAAATGTTAAACCTGTAGATATCTAATAGCTTCTTTCTGCATTATAGAGAATCCATCTCCTCCCCCTGCTAGATAGTTAGTTACAACAACATTGTACTCTTCAGTATCCTGTAATATAGTTAGTTACAACTACATTGTACTCTTCAGTATCGTGTAATATAGTTAGTTACAACTACATTGTACTCTTCATTATCCTGTAATATAGTTAGTTACAACTACACTGTACTCTTCAGTATCCTATAATATAGTTAGTTATAACTACATTGTACTCTTCAGTATCCTGTAATATAGTTAGTTACAACTACATTGCACTCTTCAATATCCTGTAATATAGCTAGTTACAACAACATTGTACTTTTCAGTATCCTGTAATATAGTTAGTTACAACTACATTATACTCTTCAGTATCCTGTAATATAGTTAGTTACAAATACATTGTACTCTTCAATATCCTGTAATATAGTTAGTTACAACTACATTGTACTCTTCAGTATCCTGTAATATAGTTAGTTACAACTACATTGTACTCTTCAATATCCTGTAATATAGTTAGTTACAACAACATTGTACTCTTCAGTATCCTGTTATATAGTTAGTTAGAACTACATTGTACTCTTCAATATCCTGTAATATAGTTAGTTACAACTACACTGTACTCTTCAGTATCCTGTAATATAGTTAGTTACAACTACATTGTATTTTTTTTTATTTTGTTAAAAAAAGTTAATATAAAAACAAATTGTAAAAAATAACAACTACATTGTACTCTTCAATATCCTGTAATACTAATATGTATAGTAAGTTACAACTACATTGTACTCTTCAGTATTCTGTAATATACAGGGTGTACCACGAAACATGACAGCTGGTAAAGAGTTTAAAATTTCTTCTTCTCTAACTTGTTAAGNTCCTAAAAAAGTGGCGAGCATAGATTATGAAGTCATTGCTTCTGAACAACGCCAATGTTTTTTTATAAAATGGCATGTGTAAATGTATGGGTGTGTTTTACTTTTAAATCTATAGATTGCAACGCTTAGTCCGCTGTTAACACGGAATTTCACAGTTTTCCCAAGCTGTTAATTTTGCGAAATGAAGCAAAAACAAAACGGATTGTAAGTAAAACGGATTGTAGCAATTGTAAGTTTTTTTTGCAACCCCTCTCTAAGTCTTGCATGGAAACAATCGATCCACCTATTGTTGCTAG